CATTTGCCCTTCCTATGAGCTGCTCGAATGCCGGGAACAAGCGCCCAAAATGTTCCCCGCATAGAGTCCAGATAGTCACAGTTGGAAGTATTGGGTGCATTTCTTAGGCTGGGTTGGGGGGGCACCTCCTATTCCTACAATCCCCAGCAAAGCAGCTGCCACTCAGCTAGCCAAAAATGTTCGCCTCCAATTTCGTGCACTGGGGCATTCGTGCGGTGAGTTGGTACCCACAGCCATCTTTAAACAAGTCTGAGTTTGTTTTACTGATTGATTCTGTTCGATTAGAACGTGATAGCACCTGGAGTTTATCCCTCTGAGATATCCGCCGGTGTGGACAACCTTGACGACAAAAATTCCAGCCGTCTTCCACCCAAGATACCTGCTAGTGAGATTCCGCTGGAGAGGTTTGGGGGGGAGCAAGACATGGCTAGCGCCATCTTGTACCTGGCTAGCAGTGGCGGAGGATATCTCAACGGCTGTACTATTGTGACAGATGGCGGTCGGCTGGGAGCTTTCCCATCGGTGGCGTAGATTGAAAGATAGTCAATTGCAACGCAATAATACTTACTGATAAAGAATGTTTTTAAATCTAACATATAAATGAACATCAATCTACAAGTTAGTAAAAACCGAATTAAGATTATTTAATCAGCAATTAAGTCAGAGTAGATACTGGAAGCACACCGTTGTTGGATATTAAGACATGTCTATTCTCAAACATATGTACTTTGGCCACAGTTCTATTGATAAACTCATCAAGCTTCAGCAAACTCAGACAAAAATCTCTTCAGTGCCGATCTGGTTTGTTTTGAAGTTGGAACCCGGTGAAAGGGAGAAGTGTATGAGACAACTCGTCCGTCGACATCCGCACACCTCTCTGTAAGTCGGATGCACCGGTCCTCCGAGACAATAGGGTCATCCGTGTTGATAAAGTGCAGCACAGGAGTTTGGATCTTGTGTTCATAGAAATTTTGCAACGCATTGTAGTGTTCGCGATAGCCGCTGTAGGACACCACGAACTTTACACGAGGGTGTGCAGTGTTGAAAGAAATTGGCCGATTTTTGGCTGGACGCTCGAGAAGCCCAGCCATGATGGCAGCAAGAGCGCCCCCTTGAGAGAATCCAACGATGCCATCAAAGGGACCATATTGTTCCAAGATCCTTGACATGTGCCGAAGGGTGTCGTGAATCCGGTCGACATTCTCGAACGCGTTTGGATCCCACCATGAACGGGTAGCAATACCTGACATGGTTTCTCCTGCATGGAAAGGGGCTTCGATATATACGATGCGTATTTGTGTTGTGAAGGTTTCGTAGATGACCTTTTCCACTGGGGTGATCTCTGTCTTAAATATTTCGACATTTTGCTGGTATCCGTGAAGAAGAAGGAGTGTACGAGACATCGTTTGGTGAGGGACAGTATTTGATTGAGTTCAATAACATATTCTGAGTCTGTACAGTGCGGACTGCTGTTGTTTTATATCTAGGGCTGGTATTGAACCTGCTTATCAAAGAGTAGAGTCGGAGGTCCAATGTATCCACTCGACCCACCAAATTATTGTTATCCCCGAATCCCGGCTTTGACACGAGCTAGGCACTTGCTTGACTGTTCGATATCCGGGCAACGCCGTTGAAACCACGTGTCAGCTTCAGATATAGCACGCTTAGTGCGGCTCCCGAGAAAGGGACGTCTAGCAGTTTTTGACACAAAACTCGGTCATCTACAGGTCGGAGAGATAGGTTCAATGCTATTGGTCTCGGTAGCTTTTGTAGGGAATCAACCCTGTGTCTCGTTGATTTCCACGCTGATGATGGCGCCGAAATAGAGCCACGAGCAGTGAATAGGAGACCGCTCGCAATCGAGGCGAAAGATGACCAAGAATAAGCGGTCAGCTATTGTGCTTGATTCCTGGACCTCTATCTCGAGACCGATGCGGGTAGGAAGGGGGTTGCCTTGTGGTCTAGAGCTGCGGTAGAGCATTTTCAGCTTGTCTCGCATCTGTGATCCTTGCCACCGTGCCCACTGTTGTTCTGACACGGGCTCTTGTGTGATCCTTGTTCGTTTAGAAATATTGCGCGTACATATGAAGAGACCATTGGTTCGGTCGTGTTGCGGTAAGAACTCGGCATTTCTTTTTACCCTTGGCACGGCCTGCGATAGTAAAGTAAGCGATTCTTGATAGCGCAAGTCGGGTCCCGATACAGATGACTGGAGATACTAACTCTTCTGACGCTGTTGGGTACATACACGCGAGGACGAGTTATTGGTCCGTTCATGGTGTAGAGGACACCTAGTAGTTCCTTTTGTCCTAAGTACCGTCTGCCGTAGTAAAGCAAGTGATTTAAGATGACTTCAGTCGGGTCCCGATGCATACGCCTGAAGAAAGTTGGATATAACCTTCAATACCTGACAATTAAGATGATTATGAATCGTGAGGACCTAAGAAATTATTCTTGTAGTGCTTGTAACAAGTACTTCCAGTTCTTCACCACTTACCTTTGAATTCACCCCTTTCCGCCCGACTCTTGTATACATTACTTATATCCTATCACAAGATAGCTTCGGCACTACCACGCCAGTAGGTTAAGGTTGACAAACATCGTACCACACCATGTCTCCTGTGTCAGCAACGACAAGCCCTGTGGCAAACTCTGTTCCCAACCCAGAGCCAATTGCTATCGTCGGTCTCGGTAAGATGCTCCCCAATGTCCTATCATTCCAGTCTTTGCCTTACAGTTGAATGTAGGCTGTCGATTTCCTGGTGAATCCGACTCTCCCGACGAATTCTGGGACTTCCTTCTGCAAAAGAAGTCAGCCCTCTCCCGGCCGCCACTATCGCGATTCAACATTGATGGATTTCATTCGAAAAAGAACAGTCCCGGTTCTCTGCGTCCGGAAGGTGGATATTTCATCTCGGATACAGTTTTCGACTTCGACCCAGCCTTCTTCGGGCTCACACGCAGCGAAGCCACGGCTATGGATCCACAGCAAAGGAAACTACTGGAGTGTGTCTTCGAGGCGTTTGAGTCTGGTGGCATTCCGTTGGAGCAGGTCTCTGGCTCCAACACTGGTTGCTACGTTGGAAATTTCACCTGGGACTATGGTCTCACTGAACGACAGAGATCACGACTACCCGAAACCATACACGATGACCGGAGCTGGGGTCACCATTCTAAGCAATCGCGTCAGTTACCTTTTTAACTTGCAGGGCCCAAGGTTCGTACACCAGCAACCACCGTGAATTCTAGAGTCGACACGTGAGCATCGCTGACCTTTCATCTAGTTTGACGTTAGACACAGCGTGTTCTTCCTCTTTGTATGCTGTCCACTTGGCCACCCGAGCCCTACAGAGTGGCGAGATCGACGCTGCCGTGGTAGGTGGTACTAATTTCAATTTTGGCTGTCGAAGTACAGATGGCAACCGACAAGATGGGCGTCCTCTCGCCTACTTCTACCTGTCACACCTTCAGTTCAGAGGCAGATGGATATGGCCGTGGAGAAGGAATTGGCGCTTTATACCTTAAGAGGCTCTCTGATGCCGTTCGAGATCGTGACCCCATCCGTGGAGTGATCCGGGGAACAGCGGCCAACTCAAACGGCAAGACCAGTGGTATCACGCAGCCCAGCGCCAAAGGACAAGAAGCTGTGATGCGGGAGGCTTATCGCTTTGCTGGAAATCTCGATTACGCCGAAACGTCCTACTTTGAATGCCACGGTACCGGAACTGCTGTCGGAGACCCTATCGAGACCATGGGTATCTCACGTGTGTTTTTGCCAGATGAAACGACTAGAGACTCGCTGCTGGTGGGTGCGGTCAAGACGAATATTGGCCACGGTGAAGCCTCTAGCGCCATGGCTAGCATTATTAAGGTAATAATGTCCATGGAGAACCGGACCATTCCCGCCACAATCGGAATCACCTCTTATAACCCCAAGATTGACTTTCGTGGCGGCAAGCTGCAAGTTGTCCAGGACAACATTCCATGGCCGGAAAATTACCCAGTCCGCCGTGCCAGTGTGAACTCTTTTGGCTACGGTGGCGCTAATGCCCACGCAATTATCGAAGCCGCAGACTCAGTTCTTCCTGGATATAGGTCTTTTGCCCGCAAGGGCACGAAAGCAATCACCCTATCACCTACCCTCGATACGATTGGTGTAAACGGTTCTCGCGTTCCGGCCATTGAGCGTGAGGAATTTGTCCTTCCCTTCTCCGCACACGACTTTCCCACTCTGAAAAACTCTCTGGCAAATATCCGGAACGTGGCTGACCAGTACGACGTATTCGACCTAGCATTTACTCTGAGTGAACGTCGTTCACGCTTCTTCAATCGTGCTTTCGCTGTCGTTGGTCGAGACTCTCCGGTCGAGGATCTGGACGATGATGAGATAGTATTCGGCAAGCGTGGCAATGGTGCCAACATTGCTTTCATCTTTACTGGTCAAGGCGCCCAGTCTCCACAGATGGGCAAGGAGCTCATGCAGCAGTTTCCTTCTTACATTGCCACTATCCGCAAGCTTGATAGTATCCTTGCCAATCTCGGCCAAGATTCTCCGCGCTGGACCATCGAGGGAGCTCTTATGGAGCCAGCTGCAACGAGCCTCATTCATGATGTCGAGTTGTCCCAGCCTCTTTGCACCGCTGTTCAGATCGCTTTGGTCGACCTACTCCACTCATGGGGAATAGTACCTCGTGCCTCAGTGGGTCATTCCTCTGGCGAAATAGCCTCTGCTTATGCTGCTGGTATTTTGACCGCGGAAGAAGCAATTGTCTTCGCCTACTACCGTGGTTGGGCTGTCGGAAAGCTGAATGCCCAGGGTACGATGTTGGCTGTTGGTGCCAGTCCTGAAGAAGTCCAGCCTTTCCTCCAACCCGGCGTTATCATTGCATGCTACAACTCCCCTGGCAGCGTCACCCTCAGCGGTGATACTGATGCAGTCCTGCAAGTGAAATCCGCGCTAGAGCAGGCCAAGATGTTCGTACGCGAAGTGAAGACTGGTGGTCGGGCCTACCATTCACACCACATGAAGCAGGTTGGAACTGCCTATGAGGAACGCGCCCAAGCCGCGATTCAAAACTTGCCTGCGCCCGCTGGGCCAGATTTCATTCGAAAGGCTACTTTCTTTTCCTCTGTCACTGGAAAAGTCTTGGACAATTTCGTCAAGCTTGACGCGTCGTACTGGCGCGCCAACCTCGAGTCCCCGGTTCGATTTACTACCGCCATCAATTCAATGCTTTCGGCAGATGAGCTTGCGATCAATTACACGATTGAGCTTGGCCCTCACTCAGCTTTAGCGGGACCTCTACGTCAGATCCGTGACAGCTTGGGCAGGTCTTCGAAAGACCTTGATTACTCTGCCACTTTGGTTCGTGGTGAGAATTCAGTCACGAGGCTTCTCACCGTAGCTGGTGCTTTGTTTGTCAAGGGCTACCCCGTTCATCTCGGCCGTGTTAATGCGATTGAGAAACAACAGAGCCATGGTTTGAGCATCGAGTACGGAACGACCATTGTCGATTTGCCGAGGTACTCTTGGAACTACACCGACACCAAGAACATGCGCCTAGAGAATCGCCCCAACAACGAGGTCAGACACAGAACTTTCCCCCACCACGACCTCCTAGGCAGCATCCTTCCAGGCGCGATGGACAGCCAAAGACAGTGGAGAAATCTTCTGGACATCAAAAACTTCCATTGGCTAGAGGAACACAAGCTCGGCTCTCAGCCCGTCCTTCCAGCGACTGGATACTTGGCCATCGCTGTTGAAGCTGCAAGGCAATACTTCCATGGTAGAGCAAAATTAGATGGACCATTTAGATACTTCTTTCCGCACATCACGATCAAGGCCGCCCTGAATCTTCCCCCAGCCGGAACAACTGTTGAAATTCTCACCAGCGTGAGATTCAAGAAAGTATCCGATTCCGTGTCTTCCAAGCAGCAGCTCACCTTCACTATCGCCTCCTGCTTCGAGTCAATTTGGACCGAGCATTGTGTAGGAACTGTCCAGCGGGAGGCCGTTTTCAGTCCCGATCCAATCTTCGATGTGACTGCCTTGGCGGAGCCAAAGACATCGCACACCTGGTACAATGGCTTCAAAAAAATTTCTCTCAACTATGGACCACCTTTCGCTGGACTCACAGACATCTTGACAGATCCTGCATTGACGCAGTGCGTAGCTACCACTCCTATGCTGGCCGAGGGTGTTGATCCTCTCGATTCTTCCTACATTGTTCACCCGACCACCATGGACACGTGCGTGCAGGCCATTCTTATTGCTGCGCACAAGGGATCGTTGAAAGAGCTCAACAGATCCTTTGTTCCTGTCAGCATGGAAGACGTTTCCATCTGGTCGATGCACGGCGAATCCATTCCTCCACTTCAGACTGCATCGGGCAAGGTCCTCGCCGAAGGCACGGTGAGCAGTTTGCGAGCGCTTCACGGTTCCTGCCAGCTCAGTATCAACGGGAAGCCTGTTTTCGAGGCCAAGAAGATCAATAGCATCGTCTATGCCGAGGATCTCAACCCTGAAACGAAGTTGAACCGCCATCCTTATCTGCGCTGCCTTTGGAAGCCTGATATCGAGAAGCTTTCCTCGAATGCCCTGCAAAAGTTCTTTGTGGACGAGAAACCATCTACGACGTCATATGTAGACGCTTTGCTTGATGTCTTGGTCCATAAATATCCTTCATTGGATATTCTGATTGCAGGGGCCAAGGAACCTGAGTTCTTGTACTCTATCCTGGAAGCTGACTCTACTATGAGGCGTTTCAAGTCCGTGACTGCACTCACTACGTCGGAAGACCAACTAGCTTTCTTTGAGAAGGCCCTCTCCACAACTGCAGCAGTCGGCCAGCTTCTTGGGGAAACTCCCACTCTCGATGGAAAGCTTTTCAACCTGGCCGTTGTAGAGGCGAAGGGCGATGTCCCCGAAATTCTTTCCAGGTTGAGGTTAATCCTAAACGCCGACGGACGAATCCTTCTGCACGGCGACACAGAGCCATCGAAAGACTGGACTGTTGGTCTTCAATCTCTGGATTTGGAGGTCTTCGGATCTTTCACAGAGGGCAAGACATGGGTGACCTTGATAAACCCACTGAAGCCTCTTGCAGCTCCTCCATTGGATGGCCTTACACTGGTTTCCCGTACACCTGACGCTAAGATTGCTCACAGCGTCAAACAGGAGCTTGCAAAGTACGGTCCAGTTGTTGAGACCGTTTCCCTCGCCGATTCCAGTTTCAACTGCAGCAACAATACCATTGTTGTTGTTGCCGAGACGGATGGCACCCTATTCAACCAGTCCATGACTGACAAGGAGCTGAAGAATCTGCAACGCATCGCCGAACAGGCCAGCACTGTTCTTTGGGTCACCCACGGCGATCTTCTGGTGGGGGCTGACCCTAACGCTGCCATTGTCATGGGTCTGGGAAGATGTCTCCAGTCTGAGTACCCGACGTTAGATTTCATCTTCTTGGACGTCGATCACAGAGCATCACGTCCCCTGGCCAGCCAGATACATACCGTCCTCCAAACTATTGGTACGGTTTCTACCATCGATCGCGAGTACTTGGTTAAGAACGACACATTCTACGTCAGCCGTCTGTCACATGATCGCGCCCACGACGCGGCCTTCTCTGCCCTGCTTGATACCACAACGACCAAGCAACAGTACACCACGGACAGGAAAATGCGCCTCAAAATTGAGCGCCCGGGTCTGCTGGAGTCTCTCCACTTCCAAGCCGTGCCGCTCGAAGATAGCCTTAGCCTCGACGAAGCCGAAGTGGAAGTGAAGGCCATTGGGTTGAACATGAAGGAAGTTGCGACTTTCCGGGGCAACTTCAACTCTTTGTCACTCAGTCACGAAGGCTCTGGTATTGTGCGACGGGTCGGCGCCAACGTCACCAACGTTAGAGTCGGCGACAAGGTCTGCTGGATGGCAAAGGGACTCTTCCAGAACATTGAGACATTCAAGGCTAAGTTTCTGCATAAGATCGCCGATACTGACTCTCACGAGGAGGTCGCAACAATGCCGCTGGCCTACTCGACAGCAGTCTATGGTCTCCTCCATCTCGGTCGCCTCAAGAAGGGAGAAGTAAGTTGCATCCCAATTTCCAACACGAGTGTTTGTACTTGTTCTGACTCATGGGTTCTAGTCAGTTTTGATCCACTCCGGTACCGGTGGTGTAGGTCTTGCCGCTATTCAGATCGCCCAGATGGTTGGCGCCAAGGTATTTGCGACGGTCGGTACAGAGACGAAGAGGAATTTTCTCCACGAAGCCTACGGCCTTCCTCACAGCCAAATCCTGAATTCTCGCGACACTTCTTTCGCTGAGGGCGTTATGAAGGCTACTAACGGTCGCGGTGTCGACGTTACGTTGAACTCGCTCGTCCGTGAGCAGCTTCATGCCACTTGGTCTTGTATTGCCACTCAGGGTCGCCACATTGAAATTGGTCTCAATGACATCCTCGACTATGGTGACTTGGACATGAGCGTTTTCAAGCGTGGTGCGTCTTTCGCAGCTTTCGACTTTGGAGTCGTGGCCGATGAAACGCCTGATGTCGCAGTGGCCGTCATGAAGGAGGTTGTCGGTTATTTCCGTGAGGGCAAGATCAAGCCCTTGTCACCTTCTTCTGTTTATCCGGCGTCCGAGGTTACGAAAGCTTTTATGCAATTCAATAACGCCAAACGTATTGGGAAGGTGGTTGTCAAGTTTGAAGAGAACGATGAAACGGATGTAAGTCAAATGCCATCAGACCTGGTGACCTGATCCAGTGCTTACCGTGACCCAGGTCTTGGTAGCTCCTAAAAAGCCCACATACTCGCCAGATGTGTCCTACCTTTTAGTAGGATGTCTGGGCGGTCTGGGACGCTGCTTTGCTCGCGAGATGGTCCAACAAGGTGCCCGTCACTTAATCTTCCTTGGTCGATCTGGTGACGAGAAGCCTGAGGCTTCTGTCATGGTTCGTCGCATGCGTAGCGAAGGTGTGGACGTTCAAGTAATCAAGGGCGATGTAAGTAAGCAGGAGGACGTCCTTCGCGCCGTCAAGGCAGCCAAGGTGCCCATTGCTGGTGTACTGCAAGGTGTGATGGCGCTCGATGTAAGCAAACCTCATCCCACCATGGCTTCTGGGGCCGGAACGTTTGATTGACCATTTCAGGATCGTCTCTTCTCCAGTTACGACATCAACAGCTGGAATTATGCCATTGATCCCAAGGTTGCCGGTACCTGGAACCTCCACAACGCCCTGGCAGATCAGCCTCTCGACTTTTTCATCATGATCAGTTCCATTTCTGCAATGACTGGTGCTCCAACCCAGGGCAACTACTGTGCTGCGAACACCTTCTTGGATTTCTTCGCTCGCTACCGTCGCCAAATGGGTCTTCCCGCCACCACGATTGCGCTTAGCATGGTTCTCGAAGTTGGTTTCGTGAGCCAGAGTCTCACCATCGAGCAGGGAATCTCCCGCTCTGGTATCCACGGCATCGATGAGAAGGACTTCATTCGCCTCATTGAGGCAGGTGTAGCCCCACAGCCAGACTCTAAGTGGCTGTTCGACCACTCTGCCAACTGCTTCCTCGTCTCCGGACTGGAGCCTGCCAAACTTGCTTCTGACATCGATGTCAATGACTTCCGCTTTTGGCTGCAGCCACGTGTTGGGCCGCTGCTGAATGCCATCCTTGCATCTGACGGTAACGACGCAGGGGCTGCCAAGGCTAAGATCGCGCTGGACCTCCCCGGCATCCTGGAACAGGTTATCACCAAGTTTGCGAAGACGTTCAGTCTCGAGGCTGAGGATATTGATACTACCAAGCCACTGTCAAGCTATGGCATGGATAGTATGATCGGAACTGATCTCAGGAACTGGTGTTATAAGCAGTTGGGAGCTGACATTCCTACTTCTGATTTCATGGGACCTTCGCTAACAGCTCAATCGCTAGCTCAGAAAGCATTCTCTCTTCTTTCTAGTTAAGAGAGATGATAAGGTTAACAAGTTTGTTAATATCTATAGTAATAATAAATTCGTTTTAACAACTAGGTAGTTTCTAATAAGGGGAGCCCTTAACTAAATAAGGATAGTTTAGAATTTTACCTGCGAATAAGTCTCTAAGTCTAGAGAGATTATCTATAATCTTAATAATATGCATGTCAGCCGTGGGGTCTCCCGCACGGGCCGGTACTGTTTGCCCCAGGTTCCACCGCATGTTTGCTCTCACGCACTTCCCCATTGGGACTAGTGCGTGCTCCATTCAGTACATAGGCCTCTCTATCCCATAGCCTAATACTACATGATTCTCCGCAACCTTGACGCTTGACAGGTTATGAGCCCTCACCCGCTCCTGTAGTCGCTCACGATAAATCACACACGATATTTTGACCGACTCGCGCAAACTCATGGATCATCGCCCTCCCTCGCGAGAAGCTCAGTGACGTCGCAATCGCGCGCCACGACAGCAATTGCTCTACTGCCAGCTGTAGCTCATCGATCGCTTGGACGAGAACGAGCTCTGCAAAGCACAATCGCCTAATCGAACCCGGAGCGCTCCTTAACGCCCGCTACGATGGCAACAAACACGGCCTCCTCCATTGGCATCACTGCTCGCTTGGCCACCGACGGTAAAAACTGGAAAGACTGGGTCAAGCAGCTGGTAAACTACGCCGCTGCAGATGGCGCTGTCGACGTACTGGACGGCGCAGCGCGACCGGATTTCGACCCCACGCTGAATAAGTACCGTATCACGGCCCTGCAGCGCACGACAGCACACCCAGCAGGCACGTCCGAAACTATCATTCAAGCCGACTTCGACCGAGTCGGCAAGCTTAAGAAGGCTATCGCGCCCTTCAACAGCGAAGCCCGACATCTACTCAAGGAGGACAAGCTCGCCCTAGACCAGTGGGTCGCGCGCGACGCCCGCCTACAAAACACCATACTCTCCTCCATCGCCAACACGCTCGCGTCGCAGGTGCGCACCTGCCCCACCGCACACGACATGTACAAGGCCTTGAAGAAGCTCAACAGCAACGGCGACCATGCCAATGCTGCTCTAGCGTGGATCGCCCTCATCGACCTCTGCGCAGAGTCTCAACCATCAGTCCGAAGCTACATTGGAAAGTTCCGCGAGACTATTAATGACATCACGGTACAGGGCATCTCACCTAGATGGAAGAAGCCCTCTGCGGTATCTATGGCAACTAGCTCCGAGCGAGACGTCGAAGACCTTCTCATCATCCACTTTCTACACGGCTTAGATCGTGTGCTACCACAGTGGGTAGAAGCTCATAACAACGACCTCCACCAAGGCAACACATGGTCCATCGACACGTTCATCGCGTCGCTCGAGGATCACCTACGTCACTAGGAAGTCGAGCCCGCGAAGACGTTCATCTCCGTCGCAAAATCTGCAGAGGAGAAGCGCGTTTTATCACGCCTCAAGAGCCGCAGCAACAACGACGCAACTCCTTCCGCTCCATCTCTACCGACTCGCAACAGAAATAACAACAACCACCCTAAGCGCACACCTCAGCCAGTTGGTCACTGCGATCACTGCAAGAAGGAGCACCCAGGCCCTAACGACCTTTGCTGGAAAGCTCACCCAGAGCTCGTACCAGATGACGTTAAGAAGAAGCGCGCGGAGACTGCTGCTAAGAAGGCAACAGATACAGCGGCGACTCGTACAAACGTCACTGTAGCCTCGAACAACAACAACGACGACGACGATCCATACGAAGCCCACAGCTACGTCACCGTCGCCAGCTTCGTGTCTCCAGATCTCCTCAAGAAGGCAATCACCAATCACGACTATCGAAAGCGGTACTGCTACGACACTGCCGCCAACCGACACGTCTTTAACGATCGATGAAAGTTTCGCACGTACACGCGAAACACTAACAACCATGACGTACATGGCTCTACAGGCTTAACCTCTGCTAAAGGCGTGGGAACTGTACGCCTCGAAGTCGTTAAGGCGAACGGTACAACAGAAAACCCTAAGCTCATCAACGTCATCTACTGCCCTGATTTCGCCACTAACGTTATCTCGCAAGCTCCGTTCAGGCGTGCGAGAGTGTAGTATTACTTAGATAAGGACAAGTTATACACTGCCTCTAATAAGGAGCTTGCATACTTACTAGAGATTAACAGTATACTCAACTTTCTTATAGTTATAACTTCTTATAGGCACTAGCTGCTCTCTTCTACGCCTTTCTCTATTGCTACTAAAGCATAGCTAATAAGCTCTTATCTTTATAGCTTGCCTTTAACTAGTATTATATTATAGAATATGCTAGGATTAAAGTAATTAAGAATACTACTAAAGTTATATATAGCATAAAACTTACTACTTCTACTGTTACTAATTGCGAGCTATATAGCCTCTTTAGAGCAAAATATCTCTTATATTCTAAAAACTCTACTAATTGCAGCTCTTAGCAAGGTCTATATTAACATTGTTAGTTCTATTATAATATCTAACGTATTTAATTACTAAGACAGCTATATTACTAAAGTAGCTACTTTTTCTTAGTATTATAAATACTATGTATAAAATATAAAATTACTTTATACTCTCTATAGATCTTTTATATAACGTAGCTATATTAGATTTAGAATCTTCTTCTGCATCTTTCTAATATATATAAGCGTTATATCTAGTCTCTCTATAGTTACTATAGCGTTATTAAGCTAGCTAGAGCTTTTCTTAACTATCTCTACTACTACTCTATACATATTAGAATTTCTGATATTAGGTTAATAATAGTGCTAAGCTAGCCTATATATACCTAAGAGTTAAGCAATATTATAGCAGAGTTAAGCAATATTATAGTAGAGTTAAGTAATATTTTAATAAAGTTAAGTAATATTTTAATAGAGTTAAGTAATATTTTAACAGAGTTAAGCAATATTATAGCAGAGTTAAGTAATATTTTAATAGAGTTAAGCAATATTTTAATAGAGTTAAGTAATATTTTAATAGAGTTAAGTATTTTAATATCTTTTAGTAGCTAAAATTATATATAAGCAGAGTATAGCTACTACTAATATGTTATAAGAGATTATTAGAGATATTCTAGATCTTATTATAGTAATATTAAAGAAAAGTAGAATAACTCTACCTATCTTCTCTCTCTTAACACGAACTATTATTAAATAATAATGCTATCTCTAATAACCTATATATTTATGCTATACTATATTATGCTAATATTATTGCTATCTCTAACTTTCTTAACTAATTATTAACTATTACTAATAAGTAAAAGAAATTCTATAGAGTTTTTAATTACTAACTTATTCTTAGTTATCTCTTCTAATTATAAAGGTAGAGGCAGAGCGCTATCTATTATATAAGATATATATATATCTATAAGGTAGACTGCAGGCATAGAAAGCTTAGGTTAATAAGAAGTACTTATATTTAACTAAAGATAGAATAGTAGATAAAGAGTCTACTAAGAGAAAAGAGTAGCTAGCTATATATACTATAAGGCGTATAGATGCTAGGCTAGCATATATGCTAGCTTAGAGTAGACTAGCTAAAGTAAAAGAAAAGAGAAGAGAAAGCTAGAGTAAGTAAGATATACTAGAGCGTAAGTAGTAAGTTAGAGAGTAAGTAGTAAGTTAAGTAGAGATACTTTACTTATATATAAATCTCTCTAGTATCTCTTATATATGCCTCTCTTAAATCTAGTAAGATCTCTTAAGCTATAAAGAAAGTTAAAAGAGCCTAGAAAGTATTACTAAGCTTAGCTAGAAGTAGCTAGAGCTAGGTAGAGAGTAAAGGAAAACTTTAGTAAGTTTCTTTAGTTTAGCTATATAAGTAGAACTTAGCAAACGTAGGTTTATAGTTTTAGTATAGCTATATAGATTATATAAGTTTTATACTAAATTTACTTTATCTCTATAATCTTTTCTATCTTATCTACTCTATGCTACGAAAATTAAGCCTAAAACTATTTAGAGAATACTTAAGAGAGTAAGTTTTTCTAGAAATATTTTAGACGCTTACGCTATAACCTCTACTGCTAGCTAAGTATTTTTTAGAGTACTTTAGTATAAGCTTATTTTTTAGTAGTAATAATACTAGTTTAACTAAAGTAAAAGGTTTTAAGCGCGTATATTTGCTTAGTAAGTATAAGCACTTTAGTATAAGCTTTATTAAAATTAGATTTAGTATAGTATAGCTAAGTAAAAAGGCTAATATAGGCATAAGATTTATTATCTCTATCCTTAAGTCTACCTATATTTTCAGTAGAAATGCAGAGCTTAGCTAATTAGAATAGGCCTTAGCAAGGCGCTATGTTATAGAAATGCAACGTAGAAATGAATAACCTTCTAGGAGGAAATAATATATTTCTAAGAGGCTATTTTATGCAGTTTTACATAGAGAATCTAGATCTCTAAACAGTTTATTTATAGCATCAAAATTCGTTATAATGCAGGCATTTAAAGTTAGAGAGTTTGCTTTAGTAAGGAACTTTAAAACTTAAGCTACTACTCTAGGCCTGCTAGCGCTAACGTGCTAATACTCTGCTTCTTAGCTTAGTAAGCTCTAGCTATAATTGCAATACTTATTACTTTATTTAATACTAGCTAATATCTTTAATTACTTACTCTCTTCTTAAGATAGCTTATATTTAATAATATTTTAAGTATTTAATTCTAATTCTTTATTGCTTATATAATTACTATATATAATTATATAGGCTTAAGAAGACTCTACCTTATTACTATAATTTACTAGCGCTTGCGCGCTACTTTACTACTTCTCTAAATTTAGCATAATTATTTATACCTAGCATAGAGGCATAAGAAACTAAGAAGCTTATCTAAACTGCAGTTATTTAGTATTACCTAAGATCTGCAACTAAGTTAGCAGAGAGAAAGGCTTCTTAGAACTGCTAGTATTATAGATTATAAGTCCTATCCTTTAAGTCTACCTGCATTTCCAGTAGGAATGCAGAGCTTAGCTAATTAGAATAGGCCTTAGCAAGGCGCTATGTTGTAGGAATGCAACGTAGAAATGAATAACCTTCTAGAGGGAAATAATATATTTCTAAGAAGCTATTTTGTGCAGTTTTACAAGAAGAATTCTGTCCTCGAGTCTACCTACAATTTCCAGTAGAAATGCAGAGCTTAGCTAATTAGAATAGGCCTTAGCAAGGCGCTATATTGTAGAAATGCAACGTAGAAATGAATGACCTTCTAGAGGGAAATAATATATTTCTAAGAAGCTATTTTATGCAGTTTTACAAGGGGAATCCAGATCTCTAAACAGTTTATTTATAGCATCAAAATTCGTTGTGATGCAGGCATTTAAAGTTAGAGAGTTTGCTTTAGTAAGGGAACTTTAAAACTTAAGCTGCTACTCTAGGCTGCTAGCGCTAACGTGCTGATACCCCGCTTCTTAGCTAGTAAGCTCTAGCTATAGTTGCAGCAGCTATACTTTATTTAATACTAGCTAACATCC